AGATCTCAGCCTCCTGAGTAGCTAGGATTACAGGCGTGAGCCACCAGTGCCCAGCTGATTGATGGTTTTGTACTGGTATCTGATTCTGTGGTTGAACACAGTGGTTCTGTGGAACATTTTCTATCCAAACTTGACCAGACTCCCTTGCCCCAGACAGTCTTACTATGCAGCCTAGGTTGGTCTTGAGAGCCTCCTGCCTTAGCCTCCTGGGTGCTGGGATTGGTTACTGTGCTTAGCTCATATCAAAATCTGGATATACCACCAATTTTTTTTTTTTTGGAGGTGCTAGGTATCAAACCCATGTTCTTCTACATGTTTATTTTTGTGCTTATATTGGGCTTCAACTCTGAGCCCCATTCTCACTCTACTTTTTTGCTCATGCCTGACATTTGACTATATGAGCCACACTTCCAGTTCTGGCTTTTTGTTGGTTGGAGATAAGTGTTAGCTTTTTCAAAAGAGGTAGCCGAGTAAGAACAGCAGCATGCACGTGGTATTCAGGTAAGGGGTAGCTTTATTCAGTAGACCTGCTGGGACCAGGCAAGGTTGGCACTCCGCACGGCTGGGAAAGGCCTAGGAAAGAGAGAGAGTTGGGAAAGAGAGACAGAAAAGAGCTTTAGAAGAGCTAGACAAGAGCAGAGAGAGAGAGCAGAGAGAGCTAGAAAAGAGCAGCAGAGAGACCTGGGCCTGGGCTAGGCCTTATGGGGCGGAGAAAGGTGTGGCCACATCAAATTCAGATGTGACCTCAGCGGATGCAGATGTGACCTCTTCCAGGTGTCCCAGTTGCCTAGGTAACGCAGGTACTGGGTGGAGACTTTGCTGCGAGGAGGGTGGAGTCTGCTAGCTATCCAGGAGCAGACCTTACAATAAGTGTCACATAAATTTTCCTGACCTGGTGGGCTTTGAATGTTAATTCTCCAGTCTCAGCCTCCTGGGTAGCCAGGATTACAGGTGAGAGCCTATGTCAGGCTTTTTTTGTTGTTGTTGTTGTTGTGGGGTTTGAACTCAAGGCCTGGGCTTTGTCTCTGAGCTCTTTTGCTTAGGGCTTGTACTCTACTACTTTGAGCCACAACTCTACTTCCAGTTTTGAATGGTTAATTGGAGATAAGACTTTCACAGGGACTTTTTTTGCCTGAGCTAGTTCAAACTGTGATCCTCAGATTTTAGCCTTCTGAGTAGCTAGGATTACTGCTCCCATCAGCACCTAGCTTTTTAAAAAATCTGAAATGTATTCCTTTCTAAGCTTCTTTCTTTCTCACATTTTTCAAATGCCTACTTTTTTTTTTTTTTGGTTGGTTGTGGGGCTTGAACTCTGGGCCTGGGCGCCATCTCTCAGCTCTTCAGCTCAAGGCTAGCATTCTACCACTTAAGCCACAGCACCACTTCCAGGTTTTTTTTTTTTTTCCTGCTTATGTGGTGCTAAGGAATCGAACCCAGGGCTTCATGCATGTAAGGCAATCACTGTACCACTGAGCCACCTCAAATACCTACTTTGTGTCAGACTAAGGGTCAAGTGCTACAGGAGATATCAAGTGCTTGAGATGGTAATGGCTTACATCATCATAGGTTTTACAGTGAGATATATAACAACAGAACTGGGTGATATATTAGATATCTAGGACTGTTGTAATGGTACCACAAGGTGAGTGGCTTAAAGGAACAGAATTGTTTTATAATTCTGGAGGCTTTAAGTTAGAAATCAAAGTGTTGACAGGCCAAGCTCTCTTTGAATCCTAGAGGGGAGAATCTCTTCTTGGTTCTTCATAGCATTTCGTGGTTTGTTGGCAATCCTTGGCAACCTTTGACTTTCAGTTGCACATTTCAAACTCTGCCTGTCTTCACAAGGCCGTCTGCTCTCTGTGTCTGTCTTTATATAGCGTTTTACTCCTTGTGTTTCTGTTTTTCTTGTAAGGACATACTGGTCAGGTCTACTTCATAACCTCATTTTAATTTGGTTACATCTGTAAAAAATCTTATTTCCAAATAAGGTCATATTCATAATTTAATACACGTTAGAACTGCAGCATGTTTTTGTTTTGTTTTTGGGTGCTGGTCCTGGGGTTTGAACTTATGGACTGGGTACTGTCCTTGAGCCACAGCTCCACTTCTAGCTTTTTGGTGGTTAATTGAAAATAAGAGTCTCAAGGACTCTTTTGCCACACTCCTCGATCTCAGCCTCCTGAGTAGTTAGGATTACAGGCATTAGCTACTGGTGTCTGGCTAAATTGGTTTTGAAGGCATAGGCACAGCTGACATCCAGCAGCCTTCCTTTGCTATCATATTGACATTTCTTTTCATTTTCCACCTTAGTCTCATTGATTGTTTCATTGACTCATTATCTCATTGACTGTTTTTTTCTTTTTGTCTTGTCATTCCTTCACTCATTCTCTAGTAGCCTCCTAAGAAAGGATGCCTACGAGACTTAAAATTTTTTTTTGGGGGGGGTCCAGTTGTGGGGCCTGAACTCAGGGCCTGGGCGCTGTCCCTCAGCTCTTCAGCTCAAGGCTAGCACTCTACCACTTGAGCCACAGCACCACTTCCGGATTTTTTCTTTTTGCTTATGTGGTGCTGAGGAATGGAACCCAGGGCCTCAGGCATGCAAGGCAAGCGCTCTACCACTGAGCCACCTTCCCAGCCCCTGAGAATATTTTAATTTTATTCTAGGATTACAGAATGGAACTAATATTTTAGAATTCTGAAGGTATTGCTTCCTTGTTGTCCAGCTTCCAATACAGCTCCTGAATTTTCACTGTGATTCCTGATGCTGTTTATGTAACCTTTTTGTTTCTGAAGCTTTAAAGGTCTTATTCTTGGCATGCATTTTTCATGACTTAGTGTTGGCTTTTTGCTTATTCTGTGTAAACTCCTTTCCTCATAGATAAGATGCTCCGACTAAGCAATAACAAGATTCTGTTAAAAACAGAAAATAAGAAAAGAGCTAGGCATTTAAACTCAACAGAAAAATGGAAAATTCAGTAGGGACAAAGTTAAAATATAAATTGGAA